CTTCGCTATGTTGGTGGAGAAAAAAGTCGACAATTTTCACTTACTAATCATCAATAACCGGGTAAGACTACAGTTCTCTAACGTTTATCTTTGTGTAGACTTCTTTACAATAGAAAACGTGGCTTGTAACATAAGAAAGTGTGTAGACGTGACAGGAACTGTTTACTACAAAAATTTCTCTGCGGTTATATTTCAAAATTAAATATTTATACGATTCGCGAGCTTATTTTTTCACTACAGATTTTCTTTTCCCTTTACCAGTAGTAATGATGCATCAATTAACTTTTGACCACTTTTTATTCTGGCCTTCATATTATCATGTGGAGGTATAGTAATAAATTTGACTTGTAACTGATTGTGAAAATTAAAAACAACTAAGTGTTTGCTTTGTTAGTGACCGTTTATTTATGAAAGCTTATAGCACTGCATCAGTGCAGAAGTCTCACCAAAACGTCGCGTTGTATATATTAGTTTCTTTACTATGACAGTATGTTCCGATTAGTGCCAGCAAGATTTATAGTGTAAAAGAGTATAAACTTTCACCAAGCGCTCACGAGATGTGAAACGCTACGAATTCTACGCTTGTGGTACGCTTCGCGAAAAAATCAAATACAGTAGAGTTGTTATATTTATATTTAAATATTTCATTAGATGAATAAACGTGACAGTGTTAAATACTAAACACGGTTATCCTCAGATGTAAGTTGTTTGTTTACAAAATTTTCCACATCCAGAAATTCGTTAAGTTGTTAACCGGTATAGATTTGAATGCTAGAAGGGTTTGAGTCTTTCGATTAGTTGACAGAAGCCATTGGTTGCATATCAAGGAACGTATGGATAGTTTCTCAGATTAAACATTGCAATCCTGAAGAACACCAAATTTATCATGAAATAAACGGTTCAATTTCGTTCTGGGCATCAAATTAAATAAGTGAATGTAATAACAGCCAACAGAACTTACCTTAAAGTGTCTTTCTTGCTGTAAAAAATGCTCTTCATTTTCTACCCCCCAGGATTTCCTTCAGTCATGACGCATTCGCGAAGAAATTTTGGACACCAAATAAACCGATTTAATAGCTTCATGTAGTATGATGAAATTTGAGCGTCTCGATGTATATCAGAAGTAAGCTTCAAAATGTGGTCCAGTTGCCAGGAATCTCGAGGCGAGCGCTTGTGTGAAGAAGTCGCTAAGGGTTTGCGGTTGGTGAAAATATTGAATTCTCAACACATTGCTGAGTGCTGAAAGTGCCTGATAACACCATATACATATGGGTCTTCATTATTAAAAGTGCCATACATCGATTAAGTATTTTGCAACCGTCTCAACAACAACGTTAAGAGCTGACAGAATTTGTTCGATCATTGCTGTTGCAATCCCCCGACTGCCGAGTCGCATTCGTCTGCAGCGATGCTAATGGGTGGTTTGGCGATGTGTTGAGCAAGCACAATTGACCGAAAGATGCTATTCTCCACTGTAATAAATGCTGTTTTCTCATTATCGTCTGATTTGAGGGTTTTCGCATTTCAACGAATTCAGTCTGTTAAGGACCTCATCAGAGATTCGCGATTCCATATGGACCTTCGGTTAAATATGTCAATCGGGTGAACGTGCGCAATTACTTGACTGTAGTCTGCCCTCATTAATCAGAAACCCCAGTCACTTTGTTTTTCAGATGGCGAATACTATGAGCGTCAATAACATGTGTGAAAGAGTTCATGTAGTCGCTTTAGATCTGAAATTTATGAGTGTTTAAAGTAACGCCGCGTTTTTGGAGCCATTGTAAGGCGACACCGATTGAGTGGGCACTCCTAGGACAACTAAATTCTCATGAATAAAATCGGGTAAACGCAGCCAAATGTCTCTTTTATCATATGTGTATATTACCTTTTGATTTGCACCCTGTGGTCTGTAGACCTTGTCTTGTAGACGTTCGTTGAGATTTCTAAGAAGGATAGTAACGTCTCTCCCAGTGTTGACGAGATAACAAACTTTCGTGTTCGTATCATTGACATCGAACATAGTTGTCTGCAGCTGAATTTAATGCGTTTTAATGTGAGGGTTTCTTGGTATACTTGCTGTGTTCGTAGGTTTTAGACTAGGGAAACTCCAGGGATTTATGAAGTTCTGAGACATTTACTATTGGTGTTGTGGTACTAACATCAATCAAGGTTATCACTTTTTCTCGTGACCCAAGAAAAGCCTCTTTGCGTAATGGGCTTCTTTGGTAAATTCTTGATCGTCCATGGTCCTAATACACGACAAGTAAACGAGTGAGTGTATTGTGGAAATTCGTGACTTCATCTTGAATCGACTGTGCCTCCTTGATGGAGCAACACTCGGTTTTGAAGGTTTTGTTTATCGCCAGAGTCTAATCAACAGATGATACTAGTTCATCTAGAAAGTAAATTTGAAATAGGACAAAAGTGGCTTGCAGCTGTTTGGGAAGATTCGAGAGAAAGGATTTGGCTTAAAAGGTCTTCGTCAATAGTTTGCTTGTCAACTACCTCCCGTATACGAAGCAACATTTCTGTTGGCGAGCAGTGTGCTAATTCCATACTAAGTAAACGTTGGCATGAACTTTGTTGGTTGGTTAGGTCTCCACGTTTAGAGATAGGATTTTTAAAATGCTACGTTCATGAACGTCACCAGTAAAATTTTAGTTGTAACGTAATTGCTGAAGTCACACAGTAGTTTCTCCACTATCGTGTGAAACTGTGTATGTGGGGCTGTCACAACATGGTCGTGGAGGTCAGTGTATGTGGTAGCGCAACCAAGCTTCAATTTTGTCAGGCTAGAATAACATAAGTTGCAAGATGGTAGGTGTAGACACCTTTATCTTTATACGTCTTTGTGTGTCCCAACATAATAAGATTAAAATATATAGGTATTCGGGAAAAACTCAAGAACACAAAATAATACCACATATTCAGGAGAAGAATATACGGAATAAATATGAACTTTCGTCTAAATTTGAACGAATAGTTTCACAATATTTGGGCGCCGAGTTAATTTGAGACATTAAAAAGAATAATAAATTTGTAAAATCTCAGCGAATGAATTTTAAGTAAATCCAACGTTTCTCCTGACAATCTGGATTTACTTAAAATTCATTCGCTGAGATTTTACAAATATATTCTTCTCTTTAATGTCTCGAATATACGGAATGTTACGATAAAAAAACAAACAGTTTGTCATTTGTGGCATCAGATCACGTCGAGGTTCATCACTAAACATGTTATGGATATGCAATAAATGGCAGCGCTATTATCCAGGTTATCTTTTTATCCGAGGATATCGAAGTTAGCTAGAGCAGGATTCATGAGTAAAGAGATGTGAAGATATTTTCAGATAATGGTTGATGTATCGAGAAGTATGCAATCTAAGCTGATTAGTTTCTGTAAAACATTTGCAGTTCGGCATGCTCAATCATGATCTAGAGTGAATAATTTACTATGCGATTTCAGTTGGGAGTTCGTCCAATGTGACTGGTAAAGTCCGAATTGGTGTTGATGACTTATAAAATTACTTATTTTTCGGATTTGTTAACCGTTAAACATTCCTTTATCAAACCATCACAAGTACTGAACTGCAGCTAAGTGAACATTTCGTGCCACTAAGTAACCCTCGTGCTACTGATAGAAGAAACCAGACAAGTAGTGAATAGGCCTTTATTTAGATCTTCGCGCAGTCACAGTGGAGCGTGGGATTGTTTGTTCAGACAAACAAAACCTCTCAACATTCAATATAAGATAATAGGAAATATAACGCCTATACAAAATAAGGAAGTGAATGAATACTTGAACTATACTGTCTTAACATATGCCTAGTTGTTTGAGGTGAACTCTAAACCAACTAACCTAAGCTGTTACAGACATTCATTAAGATTAGAGTATGAATGATCTGACACGTAAACCATGGTTACAATCAGAATTCACTACCAAAAGAGATAGTTCAGGAATCTGGTGACTGAAAATTAGCATGATATATTCTCTAGTTCTGCTTTCAAAGAAGACTTGTCATTATGTTGATATTTTGCAGCCTCATTTATCAAATAATGATTCATCCTATTGAATTTCTGAACCACTGAAAGAACAATTATGCTGGACCCTAAATTTGCCACAAGCATTCGGAGTTTGACAAAATAACCAGTAACACCTTATATGATCGCAGTGTACCAACCCAGTCAAATCAGAAGTCAGAAGCGGAAAGGCTTGAAGGTATATTTGATAGGCTATCGATATATCGGGAAGTGATCAATTTAAGCTGGCTAGTGGTTGTAGGAGATGTAAAGCACAATGCACCTACTCGTGATTTAGTACGTATGCGTGGCCGAGCGCATTCAGCTAGGTGAGTCCATTAAAATAATGTGGCCAGAATCAAATATCGAAGACTAACAGAGCTACTGATGTTGGAGATTTATTCGCAACTACAACCCCATGGATACAGGAGAATGGTACAGTCGTGGTAACCAATTATTTAATAATGAAATCACTTGAGAGTAAAGAAAGGAGGTCATGGTGAATGGGGGGAAGAACGTATGCCCACTTGGGTACTCCCAACACGAGTCTTCTGAACTAGCTAGCCTGGTCAGGGAAAAATATCCCGACAAGCCTCAACGCAACCTTTTGGTGCTTGAAGGAGGGTCATCAAGCGTTTATTAAAACACAGAAACAATAAAATATGTTTTCAGAAATGCCAATTCCGAATATTAACTTACCAACACATTACACATACTTATCCATAAATTCTCTCCTATGACCTAAACGCAACCCCCCAAGGAACGGACGGTCCACAATATCATAGAATTTTCAAGTTTGATTATTATTGTCTACTGTCCATCTAAAGGTTTTGCTGACTGACAAAGTCAAATCAACGAAAGCCTTCATGTATCAGTATTCTACACAAAAAAGGTGTACAATTTAATCAAATTTAAGTTATTCACTATAATCATACTGAGTTATAGAGTTGTTTTTATGAGCTCAGGAATAGGCGCTAACACATTGTGTATGGATTTGTTTGCTAGAGCACCGCTGGCACCTTTCGAGGGTGGTGGTGTATGTGATGATCTTGACGGTTCTGAGACATCCTCATTAGTTGCTGACACTGACCATCAAATAAAACGAGTTTCGTCGATCCCATTCGATGCTAGCTTCTCTTTTGAAGATTCACTCACTGACCTTATTGGGAATTTTGATGAAAAGGTATATCATTGTTTCGAAAATGTTGACGTGGACCCTGAAAACGCACAAAAGATTAATTTTCCAGGAAATGTTCCAACTTTAAATGACGTTAAGTAAGTGAACTGCCGTGCATAAACATGTTAGGCAATGGTGGGCTGCAGCTGCGAAAGAGTTCGTACCCACTGAATCTTACCCGCTTCATAGCTTACCAAGTAACGTTAATTTGTATGATCTCGTAAGTTTATTTTTCCGTCTCAATAGATGATTTCCACTAAATCATGTTTTTGCAAGTCATATGTTATAAGTATGACGTGAGTATACTCACGTCATGACTATAGTCATTCGTCTAATGCATAAATACTTTAAATAACATATACTTGGAGATAGTGCGATAAATTGGATATGATTTTATTCTCCACTACCCCCACAATCTTCAGCTTCATGTATACAATAACCGGTTCTGACCAATAAGCTCAATAAGTTTAAGCTATCCCTATATAGTTCGCTTCAAGTTGCGCCAGATGTATGACTTTTATAGTCTTATAGCCTTTAGAACCAATGTCTTCGAAGAAATTCGGTTCACTTGATAATATTCAGGGCACACACGACAACCATTACAACAAAAATACCATCAGGACGTTAGGCATCACTTCGAAATTATGTCACATTCGAATGTATTTTATTGACTTATTAATATACATATCCTATTACCAAATCTGTAAAATTGAAGTACAGATGTTAAACCGGTCACACTTAACACTGTTCCATCGAAATATCTGGCATGTGACGAAGCATACAATTGGTGGTTATGTGACATAAATTGCGTTTGATTGGCTACTAGGCATTTCTCGTTGATATTGCACATTGGCAATTTTATATTACAGAACACTGCGTAAATTTCATTATTTTTTACGACGATGACTAGTTAGTGAACTTTGATGTGTTCATGAAGTTCTAAGCCACCGTTAGGGTCTCAACAATTGTACCATTAATTTTAATGTAGTATTGTATTCACCAAATACTTCAAGTAACCCAATAGCGTTCGCTCCTGTGGTTTGTGGAGTTTTACTTGTTATTATCCCGTCACCTATTTTACTACTATATCCTGAGGAGTAGAAAACCCCAGACATTTTCACCATCTCAGACCCATGGAATAGACAATGTATCTATTCGGAGTCTTAAGAACGTCAACATAAACCATAGTATATTCTTGATGGTCAACTTTCACTTTGTTTCTGTCACTATTCCTTTCTTATGTATTTTACGCTACTCTTTTTTATTCCTTTACCCTCAGGATCAATTCGAACTTGCAGATGCTGATGGAATAACTGAAGATGGAGTTATAAAAACAAGTTTGTTACAAACATGCAGTGTAAGTTGACTAAGTAGTCGTATAGTCTGTCTGTTCTCTTTGTGGACTTTGCCGCAGACCATTACAAGATTTCAGTATTTCCATAAAGTCGTTTGCTAATTATCACCAGATTAACTGCTATCACTCACTTAAAAGCCGAGCTCGTTTACCTCGATGACATAGTCAAAAACGTTTATGCGACATACGATATTTAGGTCGTTGACGAATTGATTAAAGACATCGATCTTTGATGGAAACCAAAAAATGTTTAGTCAAATCTGTTCCTTAATATGGTGCAACGCCAGAACAAATGTCAACATTCTTAAAGCTACAAGCCGTTGCCTTCGCAGTATATATGATTCTTGGTTCTCCGAGTTAAATCACACGTGTAGGTAAAGGCGCTATAGCAGTAAATATTACCGCTCGAGTGTTCGACAACCAGTACAGTATCACTTCTGATCTCTGAATTAGTTGAAACAAGTTGAGTTCATGAACCATAGATTCACCTATATTTCGTGTTTTCCCTCTTCCGAATGTTTTCTAAAAATTAACAAATGTTTAATAACCAGCAGCTCTTTAAATACTAGTTCCCGGTAGACATCTTATAGGCTCCACGGTTGGTAACATTGATATATTTCCACTTCCAGAAATTTTAAGGAAAGGACTCTCCGAATGCGATTACTTGCACTGATTTGTTCGACCACACACTAAAATCTACCAATCTCTCGTAGTTGATCGTAACTGTCTTCATCTTCTTTTCTCAGTACGTTTTCTCGAGTTCGTAGTTTTTCTTATGAAGGATGTGCTTTGAGGATTCGATAATAAGTTACATGGTTTGAGGTTGTTGCAATAGTGGATAGATGATTCTTAATAAATCGATGTGGCTAAGCTAACTTAACAGGTTGGGCCTCCGATTGGGTTGATAACTGGCCAACAAAAAAGGGTTTGTCTAGTAAAATAAAATGCTAGTATACAAAATGTTGCATACACAGCAAAAGTAATTATATTTCGTAAGCGTTTGGAATGTATGAGTTTTGTAGGTCACTCATTCCTCAATCAATTAAAACCTACTTGTTAGGTTTGATTTGTCCCAATCCTAATTCCATGAGCTTTCCATGTCACTCTAGAGTTTCTTCCACAAAGCACTTATTCGTTTAACGCTACTCTATTAACTACACCTCTAAACTTTTTATGTTTAAACGTTGCCGGAAGTGCCAAAGGCAGTTGGTTAGGTATGTGGTAAATCTTTTATTGTCATTATAAATACGTTTGAAATCTTACAAACTACTGGCGAGTTATTTTGTCAGGTACTAACCATCTAGTCCATCCAAATCTTGTTGATCTTCCAGTAGAAGGAGACTCATATATATTAGAATCCGTGCATACGAGCAAAAGTACAGAAGCCTAACAATACTGTACCTAACACATATACTGCACGACGAACGTTTTGTAAGAGTTGACTTAATCAGAAGCATATCCATAAACATGTTGCACATTCACCGCCGTAAAGATTCTTATTTTCTGAAAAATATTTTGTTTACTTATTTCATATGTTAATGTATTCGATTATCATTGTTTTTTGTGGTATAAAGAGTAAGAGAAACCTTTTAATATTGTATGCTGAGAGCTTCATATTAAACCTAACATATATTGAATAGAGCCACTATTATTGTTATTATTATTACTAAACTAGGAAGCAGATGATAGCGAAATCAGCAACATTCACTCTACAAATTTAAGAGATTCAGAGGTTGATCACCTTGTACTTCCAGTTGTAAAACTAGTGTTCCCTTTTAAGACGACATTTTTAACGCTAATCTTTTTATGGTCCTGTGCGCAAACTCTTACATGTTTATTAGGTTAAGTAATAATTGTTATTACTTCCAAAAAATTGTGGATTTATAACTTAAGCTTGGATCCGACTTGAGTTTTTTCGTACTTCTGTTGGTAAAATTATGGTGAACTTAAAAACCCACGTTGTGGTATACGTTGTTAAGTCCGAGTGGAGGTGGACTTGTGTTCTTACTCCGTTGATTTGAGAAACCTAGGAATACTTAGTGACGTTCCTCACCGCTTTTATCTTTCAGTATGAAGATAACGAGGTGAAACATGTTTCGGTACTTTTCGTTGATAACGTACCCTACAACAACATTATACCTTTATAAATTGACGCTTGATAACCTCTTACACATTCTGCTAAAAGTTGTTTCGCCCTCATCAGAATATCTACCAAAATTCCATTGTTACTTTAAATATTTGTCTTCTCGTTAGTAGCTCTACATGGGTTGGACCAAATACTTGCAATCGGATTCATCGACTGAGTGACCTGAATAAAAATGTATTGTGCGCACTTTATACCCAAGTGCTAAATCCTGCTTCTAATCTACTTTGCATTAGGACCCAGCATAATTTCAGACAGTGGAAAAAAAATTAAGCTCTTGTATTGTACCAGGGTTTATGCTGATTCATTCGGGTAGTTATGTTTAAGGTAATGGTTATTTTTCTACATATGCATTAATTCATACCCTACAACAACATTATACCTTTATAAATTGACGCTTGATAACCTCTTACACATTCTGCTAAAAGTTGTTTCGCCCTCATCAGAATATCTACCAAAATTCCATTGTTACTTTAAATATTTGTCTTCTCGTTAGTAGCTCTACATGGGTTGGACCAAATACTTGCAATCGGATTCATCGACTGAGTGACCTGAATAAAAATGTATTGTGCGCACTTTATACCCAAGTGCTAAATCCTGCTTCTAATCTACTTTGCATTAGGACCCAGCATAATTTCAGACAGTGGAAAAAAAATTAAGCTCTTGTATTGTACCAGGGTTTATGCTGATTCATTCGGGTAGTTATGTTTAAGGTAATGGTTATTTTTCTACATATGCATTAATTCATTCACATCTTGGATTGAGAATTTATAACTTCACAATAATTTATAGTTGTTTCTTTCGAATACCGATTAGTTTGAGGCATTGCCACTTAAGTTTTGTCTGAATATATCAGCTTATTCATTGACATTCTTGTTTTTCTCACAGGCTTTAAATTACTCAAACGAATCTATTTATTCAGGACGAGGCACTGTTACTACTTTATCCTTGTCATCCGTGTCAGTTAGTCCTCGTTCATCAACACTTGATGGAGGTTTTCCAAATACATTGGCCCAAATCCCCGATAGTGGAATCTCAAACACCGACGAAGAGCTAAACAGTTACTTTAAAGATTTTGATGATGAAAACATCCTTGACATTTTTCAATCTCACCATCCTTCCCTACCTTTGAAAAAAACTCAAAGTTGGGTAGATGGTAAGTATTTGTTTTGTATAGATGTACATAGTGAAATACTAAATTAGTTATTATCCAGTTTTATTCATTTACTTATTTGAACACATAGATATTGGTACAAAGGGGCACCAGATACATATGCGCCACACAAATCTCATTTGATTTGTGTGAGGGCTGTGATACTGCCCGGGTGCCCAAACCGAAGCAGGTGGTTTTCTCAGGGGGCCATGCCCGGAGCCTTTGGCCTAAAGGGTCTGATCCACAAGGCAGTAGAGCAATGTAAGGAGATGCAGTCCCATGGTAGCCGGTGACCGATAATTGATTCATACGCTATTTGTTCGCTCAGGATACTGGAGCCCATGTACACCTCGGGGTTTTCCAACTCCCCTAGGTGGACTCTCCGTGTCCGCCGACCCGGCTAAAGTACCGGGCATTCGCTTTTCGTCCTCTCAATTTCGTAAACAACACCCGTGGTGCGAGAAGGCAGTTAGTAGGATTTCCCTGGCAGAGTCTATATACGCGTGGTCATGTGAGAGCATTTCGAGAGGGAGAAATGACCACACTCTCGGCCGTACCAGGGCATTTGGTTTAACAATATACCCCCGTTGTTATTGTTCATAGTTCAGTTAATCTTCTACAGAAATAATTCAAAAGCTTTTTCTAAATATCCTATGTTTGGAATAAAACTCATTTTACGGCTTTCATATTTCAAAAAGTACTAGTAATGCTTTAAATAGTCTTGGGAAAACGAAGTTTCATGAAGTTCAAAAGTGATTCTAGCACTCGTGAATCTCCCCAAGTCACTCGTAGTTCAAAGTGCTTAATACTTTTTGTGTGGATTCTCAATTTAACTCTTGTACATACCTAATAAATTCATCGCAAACATTAAGGAAATCGGCTTTTAGGATTCTTCTGCATACCACTTCCTGACTAACTAATGGTTGACTCAGTGTATCTCTGTCAAATAGAGATCTTGATGAAAGTATTTATAGATCACTTGTTTCTGCTTACCAATGCAATATTTTGTTTTAAGTGTGGTCTGTCGTAGTACGTATTTTGACTGTAGAGGATGAAGTATATTAATATATTTATCAGTGGTTTGGTGGTTACCGCAATCAACTTTCATTTATAAGGTTGATGATCTTAAATCTGTCTCGCCTACTTTGGCTTGGGAAACCTGAACAAAAATGTGGCTCAACACAACACATAAATCAATGTTTTTTACATGATCAATCAGCCGATCTCTAGGACCACGTCAATCCTGATAAGTTTACAACTAATAAAATCTCGGTACAAATAAATAAGACTCGTTTTTTAACTTATGGTACCCGCTAAATCATGAACTAAACCTGGCTTTTGTGGATTTGCCACCAATCGTAAATTTTTTAAAACATTTTATAATTATTCATCGGTGAATTAAATGACTTTATGCATGTGACATACAGATTCATATCTATGGAACATCTTATATATCTAGATAAATTAATACGTATATGTAAGTTTTAGAACAAACGAAATGAAGTGAATTCACATCTTTGCTTCACAAAACTTTACTAGGTAAACTATTTTCATAAAATGCCTTTTTGTATCTGACTAAATAATTTTTCAGACCTTCAGAATTTGAAAATCAGCGTTCTCAAGCTTTATGTTCAGCAAATGAATGAAGAAATTATGCAACTTTCAGATTGTTTAGTGGATTCTCTAGCGGAACGAGACGAGCTTTTAATGCTTCGTGAAGCCAGTGATGACTTTATTATATTACTTAACTTGGTCCACGAGCGAAAAACTCAGGCATCCAAAGCAGCTCTTCTAGCAACAGCCAAAAGCTTGATTCGTTCCAAAGTGAGAGCTTTTATATGTGATTATCACTTTTGATTTAGATTTATGGATACTTATGTATTGGGTGTTCCAAATTGTTTCTTTTGATGAATAGCTAATAAAGTGAGACTACTGATCCTACCATAACATAACACATACGTAGAAATACGATAAATACAAAGAATCTTGAACACCACTGCAAAAAGAAATAGATTTCAACAAATTGACAAAGTACCAACTATGTATGAAGTGTTTTTTGGTTACCAACTATCAAAGAATTCAAGCTGTCTAATATAATAAAATTCTGACGATAAATCAACAAGGATGCTGTTTTGAGTGATTTTTTACGGAAGTGATTTAGTCACTAATCAACACTATGCATGGAATGCATTCTCACTTCGATTTTTGTGGCTAATCAGTAGGAGACAGTTAGTTTTGTGTGCAACTTGATTCATTAAAATCTACGTTGAGATAAGGATCTCCACAATTATTAATCATTTAATGATCAATTTGTCTGGAATTACGAACAGTTTTAAAACCACTCATTTAATGTTTGTTCAGGCTAAATGCTAAATTAAGGTTATCATCCCCCAACGAATACAAAAACACGCAAGATCGTCGTTATAATAATTTTTATTCACTGAGAAACGAAAACCTTAACATGTGTATCATCTCTCTAATAGTCGGATTTTTCTAAACAATCAAATCAAAACTTTGTTATACATATTGATATAGAGAGCCAATCAAAAGTAGCAAAACGCCATTCTATGGCAATCAGAAGTGAACTAAAGGACAGTTGATTTTCATTGAGATCGATGGGTCAACTTCCTAAGGATATATTGGTATCAGTCAGTCAGTGGTCTTGAATGCTGTTAGAGGTATGAGGGTGGTTATCATTTCCCGGTTGCCCACACCGTGGAAGGGTTCTTCTGGAGGTATCTGAAGAGGAAATCGGATTAGAAGTGGTCTTAGTGACCTGGGAGCGTGACCGCAGTGCCCAAGGGACAACTGCTTGAGGTCGGTCACACACGACCTTCTTATGGGCAATTTTTGTGTTAGCTCCGTACTTGTTGAGACCTTACCGCCGGAGATGGATATCCGTGGGATAAGGCGAGGTGTGTATTTTTAGGGTCGACCTTTTCTAACCCTACCCCTCCTTGTGGGAAGACAGCATCGCTGTCATGCTGATTGTCTGAAGGAAACACCTTACTGCTGTCACACCTCTGTACAGTCAGTAGTACGACTTCGCCTTCGGACCTTGGGTTTGTTGCTTTCAGTCTTACCGCTCTTCAACCGACCTTTCTGACGTGGTAGGACTTTGAGGAACAGTTGTTCCAGTCAGTATAGCTCGGTTGCTTCATCATGATAGGCAATCCCGACCACCACGTCAAGGTAGCAACAACAGTCGGGATATATTGGTATATGAGTATTCGTTCATTTTATTCCGTAGTCCAATACACTTTTCGCTCACTCGTGTGTTCTCGCTCAAGTATTCAGTTGGGGGTTAGCGCATAGCATACCGTGTATCAATATCAGATCTTGGTCGCTGCATGTCACAGCACACATATGTATCATGTCAGTTTTTAACCTATAACATCCTTTCCAAGTTTTTAACAAAATATATGATAAATCAGTGGTATTATCTGTCCTTGCTTTTATTATTAACAGTTTTGCTCATATTTGGTTGGTGTGACTGACAGTATCTCTATATGTCATCATTCCTCATTATTTAGTCTTCATAAACATTTTTCAGATGAGTTAACCCTACAAAAAAGTTGAAATTACAGAGTATACTCTAGATATTCTTACCATAAAATCTTTTGTCTTTTTAGATTTGATTTCGACCTTTTTGTTATGTCCTGTTATTCCGTAGCAAATAATTATCTCAGTAGTGGCGTATCTCTGATTATGTAGTTCGACCATACATATACATTTTGTGAATTGGTTGACAAGAGACTTAGCCCAAGTCACTTGATCTGTAATTTATAAGTCCATTCCTTAGGTTGGTGCTCCTGCCATTATCATATATCGTTACGACAAGATTACGTTTATTAACATGTTAGGTAGGATAGTTTTATTACCCATATCTAGTCTTCTTACCACCGTTTGAGGCACTCAAAAATGTGTTTGCACTTCTATTTTAAGTGACGGGAAAAGTTTTAATACGTCATGTAACTAACTAATTCTCAACTATGTATACCATCCTCACCAGAAGTGTTGGATGAATGCCTAATTGAATTAATTTGTACTTTTATAGGATCAAAACACTTGATGTTCGTCAAGTCGTAATTTGCTTCATAACAAACCTGAGTGATTTTCGTGACTTAGCTTAGTCTCCACTAGTTACTTTCTTTCTACAAGTTTCTTTTAGGTCAAGTTATTTGCTTTTCGATTTTGTAGTTTTGTTTTTCGTTCCATAGATACCACTCATATATTTAAAACAAATTGCTTCAGAAGACAGCATGTTTTGTTTGAATTACTACATTTCATCCAAATACTTCTCGGTCTGTAACAGTGAAGACTGATATTCGTGACATAATAATCTAATTCAATCGCTTTTGAGAATGTAAGTAACCTGAAAGTGACAACTACCAACACAACTGACAGTGCTCAATTTAACGTTTTCCACAATAAAACTCCTAAATTCCCTACTCCTCTTATCAACCATGCTGTCAGGTTCTGTCTTTTTCACGCTTAATCACTGCTACCAGTTCTATCTAACAGAGTTCTATTCTTAGTCTTCTAAAACCACAATCTAAACTGCGTGGAACCTGGATTTGATGGGAAAATGTGCTTCTCTAGACAAGACTAAACTTCTATACAATTGATTTACTGTTCATATGAAACACACATACAAAACTTAAGCGTGGTCATTCACTTGACCTCATTTATCTAATGTAGATTTATTTATTTTAACACATAGATATTGGTACAAGGAGGCACCAAACACATATGCGCCACAAAAATCTCACTCAATATGTATGAGGGCTGTGATACTGCCCGGGTGCCCAAACCGAAGCAAGTGGTTTTCTTAGGGGGCCACTCCCCGAGCCTTCGACCCGAAGGTCTGATCCACAAGGCAGTGGAGCATCGTGAGGACTTGCAGTCCCATGGTAGCCGGTGACCGATAATTGGTTCATACGCCATTTGTTCCCTCAGGATACTGGAGCCCATGTGCACCATTGATTTGGAATCCAGTTAAAGCGCCGGACATTCGCTTTTCGTCCTCTCATTTTCGTAAACAACACCCGTGGTGCGAGAAGGCAGTTAGTAGGACTTCCCTGGCAGAGTCTATATACTCGTGGCCATGTGAGAGCATTTCGAGAGGGAGAGTGGACTCTCCCCACTCTCGACCGTACCAGGGCGTTCGGGGGCATCTAATGTAGAAAATCGACGTGATTTACCCTTCCTGTATCTGGATACTTATGGAAGATATACTATTGAGATCTAACAGTTCTATGAGTTATTCAAGTGTTTCAAACGCATCCAATTAAGCTTTTTTCCCGATCTATCATGTTTCTTCTTGATATGACGAGACAAAGTTAACCCCGATAGTAAGACACTAATTCCATAAAAGGGTGAGCGACGTATAGTTGCAGCGTCCTCCATTCGTTCGCGCACTGACTTCTAACATTTATTCTTGTGTTCAGTATTTATTACGTAAGCGTGTGTTTCTGCTAGCAGCAAAAATATTTTGCCAGGAAGCTGTTTTATCTCTATATCATTTCGATGGATGAATTCGCCCAATAATTCCACCTCGTAAGCAATCGTCACTCGACCACATCAATGGTGTCTGACATTGTGTTATTACATTTTATTAATCCGTCTATTCGACAATCCCCGAAAATCCGTTCTCCACAAATCATAAAAGACTAATTCATAGCATTTGTTAACTAGCAGCTTATTTTTTAGTGAAATAATTATCTCTACTTTCATTTTCCCGATTTTTCCATTTCGGTGTATAATGTTAAGCCAATCAGCTACAATGTACGACCAGGCACATATGTGCATCGATCAAAGTTACCATACCTCATTAGCACAACAAGATGAACACGGATTCCTAGAAGTAGTTAATTCAGTGGTGGTAATATATAAAAGTTGCATACAATGACATAGTACAGGATAGCGAAATTAGTTTGTAGAAAGAAAGATATGAGACGATTTTAATCTCATAGCTTAAGGGAAGATAAGGAGTGTATACACTGACGCCATTGTGACCGATTCTGAGCCATGTCACCTGGAGTCTCCAACCATTGGTTACGATAGTCACACGGACTCCAACCAAGTAGTCTGCATCTACCGACATTGCTCAGATCAGAAGTTAGTACCTTCAAAGACAGATGCCACTTTTTGGTTTGGCCGCCCATAACTTTCTTCTAACCATTTCCAACACTAGTCCACATTGCGCGTCGTGGTAATCGGTGTTCAGACATACGCAACACGTGACCCAGCCATCTCAGTCGATAAAGATTCACAACCGCATCAACTAGTTTACCATTATTCCCTAATACCCTGCACCTAACCTCACTATTACTAACACAGTGATCCCAGCAGATGCGATCGATATTTCTAAGACATTTATGACCAAATACCGGTAACTTACGAGTGTCTCCCACCCTTAATGGCCACGCTTCGCAGCCGTAAACGATGAGCTGTTATGTTTGATTCCTAGCACAGATATTTGGAATCTTGAAACATCCGATATATGGAGTGCTTCTTTCTTCAGTGTTGGCTAAATTTGCGTTTTGATAACTTTTTCGGTCACAAACTTATGCGCTAATTATAAGTATCGTATGTTTTTCATATCCTTTGACGCATTTGAACACTAACTGGTCACTAAGTGTTATTTTTTTGTATGGTGATTGTCAGTTTTTTCTTATAGCCCAATGTACAACTTCAAAATAATTATTTTCTGTCTGTTTCGTCGTTGAAAAAATATTTTTTTGATTCTCTAGACTTTGTTTCGTGTCACTACTCCTTGGTTTACTAAAAGACCACATATATCTGCTTCTAGTACACTGTCGCTAGTTGGATCTCAAGATATCGAGAAACCAGGCACCACATCACCTGTCAGAAATGAACCAAACCCAGTAAATTCAGTTCATTTAGATTTACAAAATAATTCTGTTGCTTATGTCGTCTCCCTTAATCTTCATTCAAAACTAAGAAGACCCAGAACACAACCAATACATGTTCACAGGACAAATCATTCAGATGTTAAGAGTGTTTCTAACTCAGTCAGTTCGATTGATTCTAAGCAACTAAATGAATCACATCTATCTAAATGTGCTGATTTATCTTCAGAAAGCATTAAATCAATACCTACCAGACAAGCGAAAATACGATATGAAGCTCTCGTGAATTTGTGCAACTCTACTAATTGGCCGAACGGTAAACCGCAAAATAGTCGAGTAAGTATGACTTTTTTGTTGTTGAACTTAGTAATAACTTATCGGCATCTTGAATAACTCATAACAATGTTGATCAAACTTCACACTACCATAAACACTACTGGTCAGCTGTCATCGGAATCGGTTACTTCAACTAGTGTTCGTCAAGATGTCCCTCTTTTCCCACTCTTGACATGGTTTTAGAGATAACACTTTCGTCGTCTGACTTTTCAGAGATTGATCTACTAGGAGATTCACTTGTTGACTTGGTATACACATACGCCATATTTCTGTTTGGGGAAGACGCTGACAAAATCCAGAGTCTTCTAACCACCTTAAGCTATAATCCAAACATGTTTGGGATGCGGTTCTCTCCTTCCAAATGTAAAATGTTGCCTCAGGATTGGTTTGCGTCGGCGCCTGTACTAATGGTAGAGAGTGAATTAGTTGAACGCATCGGCCGCCTCACTTATCTTAGGAGTTTCATTAGTACCGGCGGTCTGGTGTCTGACAAAATCTCAGCACGGATTCATAAAGCTCGATTGGCTTTTACCAACTTAAATCACTTGTGGAGTGGGCAAGATATCCTTCTTCCAACCAAAGTACAAATTTACTGCACATCATTTTACTCCTTTCTACTTAATGGATGTGAAACATAACCATTAAGAATAGAAGATATTCTAAGGTTACTGGAATTCGATTATAGGTGTCTACGAAGCATCACTCGTGTATTTTGGGACTTTGGAGTAAAGAATACCGGGGTTAGCAATAGAATACTAGGCAAAGATGGGAAATCGGTTGATAAGGTAGTGAATCTTCATCAACTGAGGTGATTGGTACGTGTATTACGTATGCCCAACCACCTCCTACCTCGACGAACGATGTTTTCTGGTGCAGCAGTAAGCTAGAAGAAAGCTAGGGGCGGCCAAATCAAAACTTAGGATAAGTCTATCAAGCCATCGACATTTTAACGGAGGCAGGTTAAAAGTTACAGACTACCTAGTTGGGGTTCACTTAATTATCTTAACCAGTGGTTGAATAATTTGAATAACATGACTCAAAATCGTTTGCCATAGTGCAGATGCATCCATTCTTTGTCTTCCCTAATTTCTAAGCTTCTGAATTGCTCAATTTCCTCTTATTTCACTAATTTATGTTTTTTAATCGTATCTTCTATGCCTAATCTTTTCGATTACATCTACTACCCTCATATTTGGGCTGATAATCTCACCTATCTGTGCTAATAAAGTATGGTGACTTAAACGTTCTCTTTACTGCTCTAGTCAGTCTATCACGTAATACATCACCACTGAATTGCAGCTTCAAGAAAAGAGGTTTCTTATTAGCCGTTAGTGTCACTATTTTCTTGCTTGTTACAAGCAAGTGTTTCTTCAGGAAACCTTGTGGATATCCCAATTCAATCAACATATTATGAATATGTTCTAATTTCTTATCAATTGTGTCAACTGAGCATATCTTAATAGCTCTATTTGCCAGACATTTGACTAAGTTTCTCTTATAATGAAGAGGCACAAAGCTTAAAAAATGTGTGTATTGGCTTGAAGAAGAACTTTCTCTATACACACCTCTGCTTGATAGAACCATTTTCTTCTATATTTAACAAAACGTCAAGGAAATGTAGTTTATTATCTATTTCCTCTTCATATGTAAATTTAATTGCAGGATGTTCGTTATTAAATAGTTCTAGTAGTTGTTCTTTTCTAATATTCTGATCGGCAATGATGAAAGTGTCATCAACGTAACGACAGTAGAAATCAAGCTTATTGATAACCTCTTTGAGAGGTTCGTTTTCTAGTTTCGCCAGAAAAAAATCCACAAGGATGGGACCTAGAGGCGAACCCATCGCTATACCATCAATTTGTTCATAATATATGTTATTAAAGACTAAATGAACATTCATTGTGCATTTCAAAAGTAATTCTTTAAGACTAACTTCAGGAATTCCAATATTGATTTGTTTTTCCTGTAGTTGTTGGCACACAAAATCAATAGTCTCCATTAACGGTACATTGGTGACCAGGGAAGCGACATCTAGAGATATCATCCGTTTCCCATTTAAGTTCATATGTTCCACTTTAGAAATGAAATCGAAGACGTCTTTCACGCTTCTGTTGACGGCTAGTTTGTGTAAGGGATTTAGGATTCGAACTAGCCACTTTGCAGTCTTATGATAAGGCGAATTATACGTATCTAAAACTGGGCGAAGAGGAAGACCTGTCTTTTGGACTTTAAGTAAACCACATAGTCGCTGTGTGTTCGATCCAGTGGGCTTGAGTAAGACGTGTATGTCAGGAGTAAGTATACCTTTATTTTTTAATTCCTTTAGTGAGTTAGTCAGCAATTTTTCTGCCTTCATATTTAAGTCCTTCACGTCGTTGAGTTTCTGAATTCATGTCGGATCATTCAAAATCGAGTTTTAGATATGTATAATTCGCCTTATCATAAGACTGCAAAGTGGCTAGTTCGAATCCTAAATCCCTTACAATGGGATGTGACGTAATCATTAGTGCATTGTTTGAGTGTATTATGAATCATGGCCTTAGACTTTTCAATCACTACCAACTGAGCAGCATAATACGTATTCTCAATGGCTGCTTTCAATCTCTGCCTTAAAACTATACTGTTTGATTCGCCTCTATATGGTATATTGATGTAAACCTTTTTCTTTGGCACTGAATAAATTAGAGGTCTTGGCATTAACTGACTTTTGCACCTATTAATAAACTTGAGTGGATAACCATTTGCTATTAAAGTGTCAGTCAGTAACTTTTCATCTTTTTCCACCATATCAGAGGTACATATTCTTCGAGTCCTCTTAAAGAGGCACTTAACTAGACCTCTCTTGTATTGCAATGGACAGAAACTATGGAAATTTAAGTATTGTCCCGTCCAAGTTGGTTTCCTATACACGGATCGTCTAATAGTGCCATCATCCCTTTGACTTAAAAGTATGTCTAGAAAGGCTAATTGGCCATTACTTTCTGGTTCATGTGTCATCACAATATCATTTTGAACACCATTGAGTTTATCCAGTAATCGGTAAACATCAAAATCCTTATCACATATAATTAGAATATCGTCCATATATCTTCTATATAGAGTTGTCTCACTAATGAGGTCGCTCGTCATATTTTCCACATATGACATGAATACCTCAGCTAAGAGAGGCCCTAAAGGGCTACCCATAGCTACACCATCAACTTGTCGAAAATATTCACCATCAAACGTAAATTGAACATTAGCTGTACATAATAAAAGTAAATCTTTCAAAAATGGTGACGGAATAGGAAAAAGGGGAAAGTTTTTTGAAATATAGTCACAAAGGAAATCCACCGTCTTTGTTAACGGTACATTCGTGAAGAGGGAGTTTACATCAAATGAATGAAAAGATTTATCTTTAATATTAATATCATCAAGAAAGTCAATTAGTTCAAATGTATCTTTTAAAGAGAACTTACATAGATTGGTACGAATAGGGTTTAACAGTTTTACTAACCATTTAGCTAGCTCGTGAATATAAAGACAAAATGTCATCTATACTGGGTGATCACAGTAAATTCTTACAGGACGTTTCTTCTAATATTAATGTTAGAAAATTGGAATCCAGAGTGAAGTACAATTTAATAAAGCTTCTTAAAATGAACGTCATAAACAACGAGTAGTTTAATATACTAAAACCCTCGGGTTCAGTTCTCCCGAATTTATATGGATTACCTAAAATTCATAAACCTAATATTCCATTACGACCAATTTTGTCTATGCGTGGTTCTCCCACACACGAGCTAGCTAAATGGTTAGTAAAACTGTTAAACCCTATTCGTACCAATCTATGTAAGTTCTCTTTAAAAGATACATTTGAACTAATTGACTTTCTTGGTGATATTAATATTAAAGATAAATCTTTTCATTCATTTGATGTAAACTCCCTCTTCACGAATGTACCGTTAACAAAGACGGTGGATTTCCTTTGTGACTATATTTCAAAAAACTTTCCCCTTTTTCCTATTCCGTCACCATTTTTGAAAGATTTACTTTTATTATGTACAGCTAATGTTCAATTTACGTTTGATGGTGAATATTTTCGACAAGTTGATGGTGTAGCTATGGGTAGCCCTTTAGGGCCTCTCTTAGCTGAGGTATTCATGTCATATGTGGAAAATATGACGAGCGACCTCATTAGTGAGACAACTCTATATAGAAGATATATGGACGATATTCTAATTATATGTGATAAGGATTTTGATGTTTACCGATTACTGGATAAACTCAATGGTGTTCAAAATGATATTGTGATGACACATGAACCAGAAAGTAATGGCCAATTAGCCTTTCTAGACATACTTTTAAGTCAAAGGGATGATGGCACTATTAGACGATCCGTGTATAGGAAACCAACTTGGACGGGACAATACTTAAATTTCCATAGTTTCTGTCCATTGCAATACAAGAGAGGTCTAGTTAAGTGCCTCTTTAAGAGGACTCGAAGAATATGTACCTCTGATATGGTGGAAAAAGATGAAAAGTTACTGACTGACACTTTAATAGCAAATGGTTATCCACTCAAGTTTATTAATAGGTGCAAAAGTCAGTTAATGCCAAGACCTCTAATTTATTCAGTGCCAAAGAAAAAGGTTTACATCAATATACCATATAGAGGCGAATCAAACAGTATAGTTTTAAGGCAGAGATTGAAAGCAGCCATTGAGAATACGTATTATGCTGCTCAGTTGGTAGTGATTGAAAAGTCTAAGGCCATGATTCATAATACACTCAAACAATGCACTAATGATTACGTCACATCCCATTGTAAGGGATTTAGGATTCGAACTAGCCACTTTGCAGTCTTATGATAAGGCGAATTATACATATCTAAAACTCGATTTTGAATGATCCGACATGAATTCAGAAACTCAACGACGTGAAGGACTTAAATATGAAGGCAGAAAAATTGCTGACTAACTCACTAAAGGAATTAAAAAATAAAGGTATACTTACTCCTGACATACACGTCTTACTCAAGCCCACTGGATCGAACACACAGCGACTATGTGGTTTACTTAAAGTCCAAAAGACAGGTCTTCCTCTTCGCCCAGTTTTAGATACGTATAATTCGCCTTATCATAAGACTGCAAAGTGGCTAGTTCGAATCCTAAATCCCTTACACAAACTAGCCGTCAACAGAAGCGTGAAAGACGTCTTCGATTTCATTTCTAAAGTGGAACATATGAACTTAAATGGGAAACGGATGGTATCTCTAGATGTCGCTTCCCTGGTCACCAATGTACCGTTAATGGAGACTATTGATTTTGTGTGCCAACAACTACAGGAAAAACAAATCAATATTGGAATTCCTGAAGTTAGTCTTAAAGAATTACTTTTGAAATGCACAATGAATGTTCATTTAGTCTTTAATAACATATATTATGAACAAATTGATGGTATAGCGATGGGTTCGCCTCTAGGTCCCATCCTTGTGGATTTTTTTCTGGCGAAACTAGAAAACGAACCTCTCAAAGAGGTTATCAATAAGCTTGATTTCTACTGTCGTTACGTTGATGACACTTTCATCATTGCCGATCAGAATATTAGAAAAGAACAACTACTAGAACTATTTAATAACGAACATCCTGCAATTAAATTTACATATGAAGAGGAAATAGATAATAAACTACATTTCCTTGACGTTTTGTTAAATATAGAAGAAAATGGTTCTATCAAGCAGAGGTGTGTATAGAGAAAGTTCTTCTTCAAGCCAATACACACATTTTTTAAGCTTTGTGCCTCTTCATTATAAGAGAAACTTAGTCAAATGTCTGGCAAATAGAGCTATTAAGATATGCTCAGTTGACACAATTGATAAGAAATTAGAACATATTCATAATATGTTGATTGAATTGGGATATCCACAAGGTTTCCTGAAGAAACACTTGCTTGTAACAAGCAAGAAAATAGTGACACTAACGGCTAATAAGAAACCTCTTTTCTTGAAGCTGCAATTCAGTGGTGATGTATTACGTGATAGACTGACTAGAGCAGTAAAGAGAACGTTTAAAGCTGCCGACTTTTGTCTATCGTATTCGACCCGATCTATGGTGATTCCCCAACTGAAGGATAAGTTACCTGGTTATGCCACTTCTATGTGTATGTACGAATTCAGCTGCTCCTGTGGAGAAAGCTATATTGGGCGCACTACCAGGCAACTGAACCAAAGAGTTAATGAACACCTCCCTTCGTGGTTAGGAAAAGGTAATGTCAAGACAATACGCAGCTCGGTTCTATCACACGATCGATAGCGGTCATGTAGTGGACAGAAACAAGTCGTTTAAAGTTATTTATCGTATTCACACTAGTTTTCCTTATGGTGTTCGATCTCGTCTCTTACACATAGCAGACGCTACAGGAATTCGAGCCAACAGACCATGTCTTTGTGTTCAGAAGAAATTTGTAACACCCTTATCTCTCCCTTGACCTTAATAAATGAATTTATTTATTATTTTTTCAAACTTTCTCTTCGTTTATTATTTTTCTTCACCCCCTCCTACCATTTTGTTTTATTTTCTCTCAAATATACGTTTCACGGTCCAATTGTCTGAACACTTCTTTTTATGACATCTTATAATTTTATAAATGTTATTTCACTGTCTATATTTTTCTCATCATTGACCTATTTCCGATTATGTAACATTGATTTGAGCCTTTATTATTCTTATCAAAACTAATGCACCTGTTACCACACTATCAATTTGTACTTTTCACTTATTATGTAATCTTTTTCATTGTTATCGTTGACTCATAAACTACCTTGATTGGTTTAATAATTTCGTATATGCATAAAAATACTACTGTATATTAGAGTAAAGCCTGATGAGGATCTAATCGAAGACAATATTGTTGGCTTATGTATGTTCTAAATTTACAATATGGGAATATTTCACATTCTGTATTTGCGTACTGTTTCTTCCTGCTCTAAACATTCTATTCCTTAGGGTGCTCAACTTTTAACCTACAGATGCTGGTCGCTCATGAATGTATTTATTCTACGCATAAATACTTTGAGGAACATATAACGTTTTCACCGTATATCAGTATAAAAAACGCATTCAAGGTACTAAATGTTTTATGATCCGCTATCAATATTTTCGTGGCGAATTTTCTACTGTCTACAGTTATCTACTCGTTGACTGTGATTGGGCTATTTAGATAATTTATGTTAATGAAAAATGCAGTGTCTTTAAAGGAGTGAATTCCACTAATTCTCTCACATGAGTTACTGATTCATATACTTATATGGGCATTTATTATATTTAATTCATAATACAGTCAGTCACTTTTAAAATTTTTAATTAGTTGATCACGTGTTTTACCAAGGTTTCAGGAGAATCTTAGGGGTTTTTTTGTACTCTCGTCTGGTTTACTTATTGACACATTTTGAAACCAGAATTCGATACTGCTGTTAACAGGCTTTGGTTCCTCTGATCTGTTTTGCTTGCCATTATACTTAATCCTATGGTTACTAATTAAATCCCTAAAAGTATATTACTTATGTTTGGTTATTTTATCATTCGTGGATTGATCACTGGTATAGTTTTGTATGCCTCACTGATTGTTTTTCTTATTTGTCGTTGCTTTTAGTCCTTACTTTTATGTATACCCTATCGAATCAAACCGGGCGTTGGAATTTCCATTCAAGAACTACGTCTACTAAATCAAAGTGAGTTTTTAGAATGAAATTAGCCTATAAAGTTAATGTCTACTAGTCTTAGCTATAGAATCCGTGATATAATCGACACCTGCGGTTAGAAATCTTAGGTTATATGGTTTTGTCAGTCAAATTGATAAAGTTGAATTTATTGCAGATTTTCCTTGATGTAATAAGCTTAATATTATTCCATACTTTTGACCCGTCTTCCTCATTTTTTATATTCATCGTTACAGTGTAACAAACAGTATTTTCACTCGTGCTTTTCGTCTACGTAGTTTCCTCTCACTCTACTGCTGAATGGTGTAGTAACTTGGGTCAGTTCATTTGTATTTCAGGTCATAAATGGCCTATGACTTACTGACTAATTAATGCAATATTTCAGTGTACATAACCAAAAATGATCATTTTAAACTAATCCTATCGCACTGAACTGAGAAATAGATAATGGAAGTATTTTATCCCAGCTTTACGACATAGAAATCATTCATTTGAAATGAGTTAGCCTGTTACAACAGAGAATAAGATCGGTAGAAGTAAAAATGATTTCAGATTTTATAAATAAGCAGAAAAACTGTCTTCTATAACTAGTCGACCCAATTAAAACGTTTTAAAATACTGAGACATATTTTCCTTCGATCAGAAACAGTAAGTACCATAGCTTACCACTGTTATAATTAGCTTTTTATATGCATCTTATAGAAGTCGAATGGGCTACTTGTTTTTTTTTTCACTGAACACTTCAAAACATTTTATTCGATTGATTAGTATGTTGGATTTCTTGCATGGATTTAGAAAATGGTTGTCCGTACTAAACATGTCTTCCCACTAAAGATGTATTCTAGTGATTCGTTGTATAGCATTTTTACTAAACCTTGTCTGTTGGAAACTAATTGTATGCAATATTAAGTTCTTTAGCGTATTAGATATTATTTTGTACATATACTTAACTGTGGATCCTGAATCAATTTCCTTTTCCGTAGTTCTTTATGCTACTGTTCTTGAAAACCCCAAAATAGAAAAATTACTCGAAAGTTACATAATGAACGGTGAGTTGACCAAACCACTGTAAATTTCTTGTATTTTTTCTTATTGTTTACCGTTTTAAGTTGTCAACGTGAGTGGTTGCTGTTATAGAGATAATTAGATTCTAATACCCAGTCAATAATATTAAAATTTATTTGTATGGTGAACAAAGACATAATTATGCCTTACAGCTAGATTAGTAAGAAAAGTTACAGTTGTTACAACAGTTTTAAACCGTAGCTAACTAGATGTCATGTTGCCACATATGGGTACTGAAATATTTTATGTTAGATCTGTATCTGATTAGTTCCATAGTTTGTTGGAAGTACTTTATTGATCCCCACCTTTTCAGACAATTCGAACCTTCAGTAGAGTAACATATTAAAAAAGAACCTTAAAATTTGATAATAAATTGTTGCTGCTCATGCCAAGTACACATTATCAGAAAACGTCAACCGTCATCTTGTGTAGTACATACTTCTCCACACGTAACTCTTCCTCACTCTTATCTGTATTTCTTCTTTTGAATATTCTCGAATTCACCGTCCTAATAACAACACGGTTTAAAAGTTCGGGTTTACATTTTTTCAGAGACACTCAAAGCCGACTTAAAGTAAATGTTACTCAGTAGTCATATTTTCTTCTTAAGATTTGTATTATAGGTGTTTGTTTGATCGCTTTGAGCAGCTAGGTAGTATAATTAGCCCTAATACCCAAGTGCCTGGTAAATGAAATGATTTATCGCTTTCATTTTGTTCAGTTGAAGGATTGTGACAGATTATTTTATCTTCCTACATTTTCAGCACCCTCGTTTGTGATTGTCAACTTATTTCATCACACCAATGTTTAGTTCCTCAACATCATTGATACTAATATTATGTCGACTTTCTTAGTAGTAATCTTATCAATCTCATTTCTATTCGCTGATATGGTATGGCAACTTGAGGTGACATATTTTTGTTTACCCCTACGCTAATTATGAGTGACTGACTGACTGACTAAATCACTTAAATACAACTATTATTTCATCTAGAACACATTTCTACCGTTATTATTTTTGCCATTTCAAGTTATCGTTCATGAAGAAATATGATCCTGTCCTAATCATGTATGAATTTCTAGTTCACTCTATTATGAACGGCTGGGTTACAGATTCACATCCTTACTACCTATTGTGATCAATACTTTTACTCTTGGAAAAATAAGTCAAGCCTAAGGCTTAACATGTTATCCTGAATATGATTTTTAAGTCCTAATTTGTTTATTATTATTTTGATAATTAGGTAAAATAGTTAATTGAGTTAGTGTACTTCATAAATTGTCGGGTGATCATCATTTATGTCAGTTCAATTCCTCTTTATGAGTAAGAAGAAATGAAGCAAGTAAATTCTGTGTAATTGAAGTTATTAGTTCTAATTGTTTGGTTTTAATAGTACTAAGCCGTAGTAGAATGTAATTAGTTAAATTATTCTATAGAATAACATTTCCTTGCGTTCAATGTAGCTCACGAATTCCAACTACATTGCTCCAGAAAACTAGTTGTAGATACTAACCACCTATCCAGATCAAATTCGATTTAACTTGTTTATAACCATAGAATTAATAGTTGGAATTTGAATACATACACCATTGATCTAAAGTTCCATAACTGACTATTTGAATGTCTTTTCTTTCGAATTTCAGTTACTAATTCTAACGACATTGCTAACTGGATAAAAACTGTTGAACCTCTTCGATGTTATGATTCTAAAAAGTTGAATGGTGTTTCATGCCAAAATCAACATCGTAATCATCTCCTATCGACATCAATGCAAACTCAATGTGCTTGATTGTCTTTCATAATTCATCGTTTTTCCTCATGCTTCCATTTTGATTTACAAAGTATATTGCATTTTCCAGAAATTTTTTCAACGCTTAGTGTGTGGATTTAAAGCTAAAATTTTTATTGGCATTAATAACCAATTCTCAAATTAAATATCCTGGCCAGTGTATGCATTCTATTACTTTCAACAAATTACAATCAAGTATTGTCTAATGCCTACAGCTTTTACTACATTAAAATTGAGCAAGATTTGATTTACTACATACATATTTATATCTATACTTAATTTTATGTCATTAAGTTGACACTAGTGCTTTTTTAACTTCATTTTTTCCTCATCTCTTTAAATTTTATCTACTTGTCATGTAATTGCATTAATTGATCTTTTTTTGGTTACCACACTCATTTACTTTTGCTGTTTTGTTTTTATATGAAGTCAACGTTAGAGACAAGTTTCTATCAATGCTTTTGTTGTATATCACACAATAAAGACATTTATTAACGTGCTTTCGTCAACCATATATTAGTAGGGAAACAGTGTTCATAATTCTTGCTCACTATTGGCTTCGGTACTAAAGATGGTTATAAATTGTTCTTTGTTGTCAAGATAGCCTTTTTAAGTTTATTTATATATTACATATTCTTTGTTCATTCTTGGCATTACTACATGCGCTTGAAAAATGCGTGTTACTTTCATCTACCTGTGAATTGTGCAATATTTTATTGTTTTAATTATGTCATGTTTACGGTGTTCTTACTATTTCATTCTTGTTTTATTAAAAGTCGATTAAAGTTTAAGCTGAAAAATAACATTATAGGCTAATTTGAACAGCTTACAGCTACCCTAGTTGAAACAGTAGTATAAAATAATCTGTCTTCTAAAGGTACTGGTTTAGTTTTGTCAACGCACGACGCGATAGGACGTCTTATTATGATTTGTAACCAAGGGATTTATTTACATATATCGTAAGCATTTTAGTGTTTCCCTCAACGCGTTTCTAAACCACGTCAAGTTTATCACTATCTCTGTGTGTTAATTAGAACATTTCAGTTTGGATAGTTAATGTCATAGAACTAGTCGTATTTTTGAATTTGTTCAAAAGTTGATCATCAAAATTCTCATTGTCGATAACGTTTGATATCTATACTTGTTTGTCGTTCCATTAGGTCGTATCGTCAAGTAAATTGAGACTTGTTTGGACAGACTAATATTTCGAAGAAGAGATAAGTGGTTTTTTCTGTGACTGCAAAACACCTTAAACACAAAAATGTTAGAGACCCTATGTTTTTATGATGCTATATCGGCGATGGCGCATGGATAAACATGCAAATTTTTCCTCATAGGAACCAACACTTATCCTTCATAAACAGAATTTAATCCATGTGTTCTGTTTCTAGTGATAGATACTAACCATGATATCCTGCTAACCTAGTGTTGTTCGGAGTTCCTGAAAAATAAGAATTATTTTTGAAAGCGCTCACTGTGTTTGCTTACATACATACAATTTTCGATAAAAAGGTTATTGTATAAATGTTGAATTATAAAAAACCCGCTTTATCCGATCTAGTGATGAAAACGCTAAGCTGTGATATTCGGTCTGCCTTTTTTAGAGTGATGTTCTCAATTTTAGGTATCAATGTGTGTATAGTCAATTACATTGTGGAATACCTAAATCAAAAACATGTTCTAACAGTTTATCGGTGAATTCAAATATATTTTGGTATGAGAGGATGTCATCTGCTTAAGTGGTTAAGGTGGACTAAAAGTCAATCCTATCTCAAGAAAATTCAAAGGTCATAGTTTATTAGTGTTTTTATCTAGTATAGTGGTTAGATGCTCCTCAAACTATCCGACTCAGAAAAAAAAATACAATTCTTTGAATCAACTTTACGTCACTTTCTGTTAAAAAGTAATCACGGAGTTATTTTCATTTGTGAGACAATATCTTTTGAAAGGTGTACCTCGGAAATGTATAGACCTTGTGAAGTCTCTTTACTCGAACACCACTAGTCAAGTCAGAGCTTATGGCGAGCTGTCGTCTGATTTCGCAACCTCAAGTGGTATCCGTCAAGGCTGTTCACTTTCTCTATTTTCCTTTCAAATCATAGACCTACTGATGGGAATAACGCTCTCATCGACTGAATTTTCTGGCATTGATCTCCCACCAGGAGGTCCACTTATCGACTTAGAATACTTAGATGATATAGTCCTGTTTGATGAAGACACCTGGACTTAGGATATGGAGTAAAGTGGTCGAATGCGCTGAGAACTTCACCTATCTTGGAAGTCTGATTAATCCTGACGGGTTGGTGTCTGACCAAATCTCACCACGGATTCGAAAAGTTCATTTGTCTTTTGCCAACTTGCGTCACCTATGACGAAGGCGAGATGTCCGTCTATCAATTAAGGGACGAGTATACTGCGCGACAGTTCGTTCTGTTCTACTCTACGGTCACGAAACGCGACCATTAAGAGTAAAGATATTCATAAGCTACTAATATTTGACCACAGATGCCTTAGAAATATTGATCACATCTGCTGGGATCACTGTGTTAGTAATAGTGAGGTTAGATGCAAGGTATTAGGGAATAATGGTAAACTAGTTGATGCGGTTGTGAATCTTTATCGACTGAGATGGCTGGGTCACGTGTTGCGTATGTCTGAACACCGATTACCACGACGCGCAATGTGGACTAGTGTTGGAAATGGTTAGAAGAAAGTTATGGGCGGCCAAACCAAAACGTGGCATGTCTTTGAAGGTACTAACTTCTGATCTGAGCAATGTCGGTAGATGCAGACTACTTGGTTGGAGTCCGTGTGACTATCGTAACCAATGGTTGGAGACTCCAGGTGACATGGCTCAGAATCGGTCACAATGGCGTCAGTGTATACACTCCTTATCTTCCCTTAAGCTATGAGATTAAAATCGTCTCATATCTTTCTTTCTACAAACTAATTTTGCCATCCTGTACTATGTCATTGTATGCAACTTTTATATATTACCACCACTGAATTAACTACTTCTAGGAATCCGTGTTCATCTTGTTGTGCTAATGAGGTATGGTAACTTTGATCGATGCACATATGTGCCTGGTCACACGTCGTGACTGACTAGTTTTAAGTTGAATGTTTGAAATATAAATCATTTCATCGGTAATGGTTCATAAACAACTGGGATCCTGTATTATTGTAGAGAGTTGAGTATGATTCCGATTAAAGTTTAATTAGTGTACAATATTTCATTAACTAGTAGGGTTAATGTGTTACAAAACTACGACTTATTAGTCGTAACACATTATATACTAGTCAAATAAGCGTTATAGTGTGACGATCTATAATTTCTCAAGTATATAGTTGTTGTTTTGATCGATCATCCAAATTTAACAAGCACTTATATTAGATCAATGAGTCTATTAGTTGAGTAATATGAAAAAATAGTGTTCATACATAGATGACAATTTATAGTTTCTGTGTGGCTGATTTATATGAATATATGTTCCACTGTGAATTTAGCCATTATTGTGACCACGCTTGTTTGTCATAAAACAAAAATGGAATATGGTAACTTTTGTGTATGCATTAGTGACACTACTTGAACTTCGTTAGACAACGTTATTTCCAATTTTGTTTTCAATAGTCTGGTGTCTACACATATGAAGTCACGGTTGTATCGATAAGTATGTGTTCCTGAGAAATTCAACTCAAACCTATGACATTAAGATCGACAATGTGACAGTCTAATAACTGGAAATTTTCCCTAATTGAGAATAACATGAGATGCCTTTTAACCCTGTCTCAGAATTAATGATTTTATTTTAAAGGAAGATGTTTGAATAACTAATTGTAAATACCTTCAGCAAAAGCTGAAGGACACAAAATATGCGACATTTACTCTGGGGAAAACCGAAATGGTGAGAGTAATACTTTATGGTGAATAAGCTACTTTAAAAGCTGAGATTTCGTATATAAAAAGTATTCACAAGATGTTTTCACAACTGTAGTTTACCAAACAGAATTTCGTTAGTTTTATTTCTTAACCACTGATCTCAGTAGATGTTAATAATATTATACACAGTTTTTTCTAATTTATCTAATCGAAGACTTCTTGTCTAACTAGACAATATAATACAATAATAGGGCGTTAACATGAATAAGTTTTCTATTTCTTCCTATTTTACTGTCCTAATTTTCCTCTCTATTTTTATAAGATATTCCATTGAAACAATAAATTTTAGTTGAACAATTTAATTGGCGTCATTCATTTACTGATGCTATTATCTTTATTAGTTTATTATATATTGGTGTTTCTTTCATTGCGCACATTCCCGAATAAATGTATTAATCTTGACTTTGATACAACAATGCATTAAATTGTAAACCAACAACTTAGAGGTTATATATATTCATGATCTAGATTATAGAATACGTAAATAATAGTATAAAGATGAGACGATGGCTGAATTTGTCGGAGAAATAAACGTTCAAGCTTGGAATAATAGATTCTAGCCCTCTTCCATCTGTTTCAGTTTGAGCAACGGAGTAGTTTCACTTACCAATACATACATACAAATAGTGTAACCCCAATCCGAGCATACAAGCATGAGTTTGATTTGACTATACTCAAGTTTGACAATTAATAAACGTATGGATGGAAATATTTCAATATTATTTGAAATGTTTCATGACAAGATATATTTAAAATATTTAATGTTTCTAGATGTAAAATCTGGATAATATCGAGATTTGATACAGTAAAATTCAATGTTTTCCACACAATCGTGGATTAAGAGATGATTTATTCCGTAGGTGAGGCATTTACTCACTGAAGACAACGGTTGACGCTCGCACAAAATCGTGGATTGGTTCAAGTTAGACACTACCACTGTTTGATACCGGCTCAGTGGTATACAGACCGAAGGTCCCGAGTTCGATTCCCTCGTGCGGGGTCGTGGTTCCGCACTGCTGAGGAGTCCCATACTAGGACGAGACGGCCATTCAATGCTTCGAGGTTTTCAATGGTAGTCTAACATTGATCCATTCATGATATCAATCTAAACTGTTTATTTTTATTCATTCAAGCAGAAAATTAAACAAAGCCATTTGTTTAGAAAAATGTATGATACATAATAATTGTATGAATGGTATTCTTCAAATACTGTTACTCTTTGAATCATATTTCATCACAAGGGTAGATAATTTTACAGAATGAATTACATTTATCGTACATACCTGTCACGTTTAATTCTTGAATGATGATTTAAATCTAACACGAAAATATTTTCTCATGTTCTGTTGCAAATAAGTTCTTATCATAGTTACCTTTACCGTTAAATAAAATACACTTTTATCCTGATTACATCGTTGAACGATGTAATCATCTATCTTCATTATTCATTTTTTCTATTCGTAATTATATCTCAACTACTCTAAAATATTATATTGTGCAAATGTCAACATGTTTGAATTTCATTTGCAGTGTATAATATAGCTCTTTTTCGTTACACATTCTTAGTTATTTTATCTCATTTTCAACCCTTTACAAGTTCGTCATCTTCCATTCATAAGTCTGTTACTCGTCATTATTCCCATCCTATAGGTGTATTACGTGCTTCTTTGAACAGCATAAGAGCAACTCCCCGAGTGTGAGGACCATTTTCCTCTTCGTGGCCGGAGTACAGCAGCATCTCTCCGTAATCTAACCTTTTTTATGCAGCTTAGGTCCAGTGGGTTTCACTTATTCCGATAACCGCCAAG